GTGTGCTCCAAGGACACAGGCCCTGTTGCTGGAGAGATGCAGGATGTCTGCATCTCAGGGGGTTCATACCTAATGACTGGGCAACATTGGATACCTGAGCGGGTGAGTGTGTCTCTTAGAAACTCAGACCTCGTGATCACTCTTTATTCTAAAATGTTTTGTATTCTTTATTATTATTTTTTTAATTTTTAAAAGGATTTATTTATTTATTTATTTATTTATTTATTTATTTATTTATCTGACACAGAGAGAGAGAGAGAGTGAGTGCAAGCACAAGCAGGTGGAGTGGCAGGCAGAGGGAGAGGGAGAAGCGGGCTCCCGCTGAACAGAGGGCCTGATGTGGGGCTTGATCCCAGGACCCCAAGATCATGACCTGAGCTGAAGGCAGATACTTAGAAAGAAATTCTAGAGGGGCACCTGGGTGGCTTGGTCGGTTAAGCATCCAACTCTTGGTTTTAGCTCAGGTTATGATCTCAGGGTCCTGAGATCAAGCCCCGTGTCAGGCTCTATACTCAGTGTGGAGTCTGCTTGTCCCTCTCACTCTGCTTCCCCCGCCCCCGACCTCTAAAATAAATAAAATCTTGGAAGAAAGGAAGGAAGGAATCCTAGAAAGAATCCCCTACTCCTAACCTTTGCCATCGAGCATTCTGCTTTGGACAAAGAAAACCTTAGTAGTTTAATTTATCCCTGGGACCCATGGGTGTGGTGGTTTTGGCCCCAGCATGTGAGGGGTTCCAGGAGAGCCCACCAAACTTGGGCCCCCACGTAGTCACCCACACTGGACCTGGGGCAGGTGATGGCCAGACTGTGGGTTTCCCCCTCTCCCATCCCCCCATCACTGCCTCCAGCTTATTATTTTACCTTTCACATTTAGATCTGATTAATTAATTGGGGTATGACATGAATTCATTTTTCAGGGTTCTTTTTTTTTTTTTCCGTACGGATATCTAATTGTTTCAGCTACATTTTTTGAAAAGATCATCTGTTCCCTACAGTATTGCAATGTCAGCTTTGTCATAAATTAAGTGACCTTCTATGAATGGATCTATTTCTGGATTCTCTCTTCTGTTCCATTGGGCAATTTGTCAATCCTATGCCAGTTCCACACTATATCAATTATTGTACTGTTCTCATAAATTTTGATATCTAGTAGTGTAATCTTTCGACCTTGTTCTTCAAGATGGTCTCTAGTGTTCCTGATTCTTTATGTTTCTCTGTACCTTTTGGAGTCAGTTTGTCAATTTCTACCAAAAGAAATATGCTGGGGTTTTGATTGAGATTGAAACAAATCTGTAGGTTAATTTGGAAATAATTGGTATCTTTGTATCATTGAGTCTTCCAATCTATGAACATTCTTTAATTTCTCTAATAATGTTTTCTACTTCTCAATGTAGGGACCTTGCACATCTTTGATTAGGTTTATTTCCAGGTATTTGACATTTTTATTTATTTTTTTAAAATATTTTATTTATTTATTTGAGAGAGGGTGAGAGAGAGAGAGAACGAGAGGGGGGAGGGTCAGAGGGAGAAGCAGACTCTCTGCTGAGCAGGGAGCCCAACGTGGGGCTCGATCCCAGGACCCTGGGATCATGACCTGAGCTGAAGGCAGGTGCTTGACCAACTGAGCCACCCAGGCATCCCTCCCTGGTAACACTTCTGACAGCAAATAAGAAGGGTTTCTTTCCTCCTGCTGCCAGTTCTCCAACTTTCAGACACCAACTGGCTCTTCAACAATTCTGTTCAATTCTGGCACTACCTGGAGTCAGCACAGACCCCACAGCCTCAGTCCCACAAGCCACCCTCCACTGCAGATGCCAGTTTTGAGTCTTAGGCCACCCGTACTTCTGACCAACTGGCTATAAGTTGGGGGTTCCCATGAGGGTTCCCATGAGCCCCTCTTCAGGTTCTATAATTTGCTAGAATGGCTCATGGAACTCATTCATTACAAAAGATGCAACCCAGGCACAGCCAAATGGGAGAGATGCATAGGGGAAGGGCTGGGGTAGGAGGCACAGAACTTCTTCCCCACGCTTCCTGCCTGCTTCACCTCCCAGCGCCTTGATGTGTGCACCGACCCAGAAGCTCCCTGAATCCTGTCGTTGAGGGGTTTCTAAGGAGGCTTCATTGCATAGGCATGACTGGTTAAAGCATTGGCCATTGATGATTAACTCAATCTCCAGCCCCACTCCCTCCCCAGAGGTGGGGCAGGGCCGAAAGTTGGAACATTCTTTCCATCTGGGATTGCAAGGGTGTTAGGAGTTTCATGCCAGGAACAGGAAACTAAGACCAGACATCTATTTCCCATTGTACCACAGAATCTTTAAAAAAAAATTTTTTTCTATTTGTTGTTGGTATGAAGAAATACAACTGATTTTTTTCTTTATATTGAATCAGGGACCTTCTAAATTCACTTATCTAATTCCAATAGTTTGTATGTAGATCTTTCTCGATTTTCTGTGTACACAATTATGTTGTCCCAGGCAGTGTTAGTCTCACCACATTTTGGATGAGTCTTAGCAGCCTCTGTTTAGGTGGGGATTTCCCATTAGCTCTGATTTCTGGCCCTACTCCCCTCCTCCTCCAAAACCTGAGCTCAGTTCATTCCTTCCAGCAGCTCTCCACCCTCACTACCATAACCTGGGGTCCTAGGACTCTGTGGTGTCCTTCTTTTTCCTCAGACTTTTCCTACTGCCTCTGGGAAAAACTTGTTTTCAGGAGGGGGAATCCTAGAGCCATTTACCATTTGCTAACTGTCCCCGCACATTCCTGCAGAAAAAGCTGGGCACTCACTTGGGGCTGGGGGAGTCGGGGAGAGGGATGTTTGGGGATAAAAGTATTAGCCCACTCTTCTTCAGCTCTCAGGTACATCCCTACACCTGCAAAAGAGTTTGAGTTCACAGAACAAGTCAGGGAGGGTGAAACCATCAGTGAAGCTAATCTAGGGACAGAGGGTCTATCTGTGAGGCTATAAGCACAGGACTGCAGAATGAGGACTTTGGGAGCCAAAGGTTGAGAGGGAGGAGGGTGTTTTACCAAACCACAAAGCGTCTACATAATGGAGAGGTGGTGAGGTGCCCAGGTCCCCCAAATGAGGCATGGCCCCTTGAGCAGCAAATCTTCGAGGAAAGGTATTGGGCACCTCTCCTGGATTTGTATCTGCTCACGTCCCAATGAGCTTGGAAACAGGTGCACAGAGAGGTAACATGAAAAGAGAATCAGCCCCCATTCACTGGGGCTCTACTCACTTAAACCTCCCGAAGCCTTGTGAGGCAGCCTTTACTAACCCTGTTTTATAAATGAAGAGCCCTGAGGCACAAAATATTTAGGTAGCTTGCACAGAGCCTTCCCAAAATAGTGGGAGACTGCCCACAATTTGCCTGCAACTCAGCAGGTGTATTTCATTCCAAAGGCCTTGGTCCTTGGGGCTCCTGCACATGTGGATTTGCCCACAGGGAGCATTTGGTAGACTGCCAGCGTCAAGGCCTCATAAGCGGCTGACATTCCAAGAGGTGTGATGTGGATTCAGATTGATTCACACGTGCTGAATTCCTCGTGGGAAAGCTGTGGCCGTTCAAGGACCCCTGCCTTTCTGAGTGGGCACCAGCTGCCGCCCACATCTGTGACCTCCTCCAGAACCTGCTAAAGTGACCAGGAAAATGCTCTTTCCAGAACAGGAACCAAAGGAGAACGCCATGGCTCTGTCTGTATTCCAAATCTTTGGTTTTGTTTTGTTTTGTTTTGGTTGTTTGTTTTATGTACAAGAACTTGTATTTATTGCAAACGAGAACAAAACAACAAAAAAGAGAACAGTCAGAACCACACCACCAAATCTCTGGATAGATGAATGATCCAAGCATTCTGTTTCTTGAAACAAACATGTCTGTTTCTTGAAACCTAGAAGTGATCTTTCCAGGTGACATTAGAGCCCATTGAGTATATTTACCATGATAAAGAAAAAATTAAAAACAAAAAAACCATTGAGCTACTTTGAGCTGCTTCCGATACAAAAGCATTCAAGTGAGCACTCCCAACCAGTCTTCCATCCACGTGTGGTCCTGGCCCGGGACTCCCTGAAGGCAAGCTGGAGTCCTCACTTTACCCTGGGTTTCCAGTCTCCCCATCTCAAATCTGCATGCATTAGCAAGGGATAGAGGTTTGGCTGCAAGACATGTTTTGCACAGAGTTCTGAGACTCAAGGGAAAAGGGCCCAAAGTGGGGAGACTTAACCCTAGACAACTGCCCTCACACAGCTGCCCTCACCAGATGTGCCCTTGACTCAGGACCCTTCTGGAACTAGCCAAACACTTGGTGACCAAGAGGGCCCTTTTGGGGGTTCCTGGTCCTATGATATGTGGTCCCAGACTGGACAACATGTTGGCTTTTTATGAATATGGCTTATCACATAAATAGGTTTTCTGTCGTTGAACCATCCTGGGACGAACCTGAGTTAAACAAAAAAACTGTAACATGGTGTTGGATTCAATTTATTAGTTTTGCTTAAGATCTTCACTTTTGTTCATAAGTGAGATTGGTTCAAATTTTCTTTTTCTTGTACTATTCTTACCTGATTTAAGAATCAAAGTTGTACTTGCTTCATAAAATGAATTTGCCTGCTTTCTTCCCTCTTTCCCTTTTTTCAATTATTTGACAATGGAATGATATTTGTAATGGGTTTGGATCCTATAAAAACACACCCCCAGAGTCTGCCTGCTCGGCAGGAGATTTGGCACAGACAAGAAGACAGACACCTCTTTTCCTTGTTTATAGTCTGTGTTGGCTTATTTCTGGCACTTTTATTGTTTCTGGGACTGCTTTGCTGGGAGCTAGCCATATCCCTGAGGAAGTAGGGATGAGAGGTGAGGGGAAGCCCTGGGCTGGGGGGAGGGAGCCCTGAGCAGGGTGGGGGGGCAGCACCCACTGCAGCCACCTCTGCTTCCCGGGGCCAGGCGCCCATGAAGTCCCTCACTGGAGCTCAGCCCGACTCTCCCCACGCAGGCACCATGTTCCGAAAGAAAAAGAAGAAACGCCCTGAGATCTCGGCCCCACAGAACTTCCAGCACCGTGTCCACACCTCCTTCGACCCCAAAGAAGGCAAGTTTGTGGGCCTCCCGCCACAATGGCAGAACATCCTGGACACACTGCGGCGACCCAAGCCTGTGGTGGACCCTTCTCGCATTACGAGGGTGCAGCTCCAGCCCATGAAGGTAAGGTGGGCGGCGAGGATGGTCGGGCTGAGTTTAGCCCTTCCCACTCCACAGATGACCATGCCTGGCAAGACCACAAAGGCACCTGGAGGGACCACCTCATTACCAGCTATCAATCAGCTGGCTGTTTTCATTGCCCACTCATGAGCCTCACCCAGGGTGAAGACTCCATTTCCAGGGAGGAGGAGCCTGGGGAGCCCCTCTCTGCAGGCTGGTAGGGTTGCCAGATTTAGCAAATAAAATTACAGGATGCCCAGTAAAATTTGAATTTCAGGTAACAACATGTAATCTTTTAGTATTAAGTGTGTCCCATGCAGTATTTGGACCCACAGCCCCTGTGGGGCTGGGGCTCCCAGACCAGGGGGATTTTGTTGTGTGGGTCAAGAAGGGCAGGAGGGGTTGGAGTCAGGGGCCTGTCAGAATATGCAGAAGAGAGCCCTGCACTGGTTGCTGCCTCCTCGGGGCACTCTGTACCTGTCCCATAAGGCCACAGATAGAGCTAGAGAATGACCCCACCCCCTGCCCCCTCAACTCTCCAAGCTCAGCTGCCCATACCATTTGAGGGGCTTACCCCTCAATGTCTGCCCTGCTGGACTGCGAGCCCCATGACAATAGGCTTTCTCCTTGTATCTCTGCCCCCTGCTGGACTGCGAGCCCCATGACAATAGGCTTTCTCCTTGTATCTCTGCCCCCTGCATGGGCCTGACCTGCTGTGGGCCCCAGTGAGTGGCTGAAAAATTAAGATGACACAGCAAGCAAGGTCCTTAGGGGTGCCTCCCCATGACCCCCGTGGAGGCTCCCTGCCATGAACAACAGGTTGCTCGCTCACACTCTTCTCCCTCCTCTACAGACCGTGGTGCGGGGCAGCTCGGTGCCCATGGATGGTTACATCTCAGGGCTGCTCAACGACATCCAGAAGTTGTCGGTCATCAGCTCCAACACCCTGCGTGGCCGCAGCCCCACCAGCCGGCGGCGGGCACAGTCCCTGGGGCTGCTGGGGGACGAGCACTGGGCCACGGACCCGGACATGTACCTGCAGAGCCCCCAGTCTGAGCGCACTGACCCCCATGGCCTCTACCTCAGCTGCAATGGGGGCATACCAGCAGGCCGTAGGCAGATGCCGTGGCCAGAGCCACAGAGCCCAAGGGTCCTCCCCAATGGGCTGGCCACCAAGGCACAGTCGCTAGGCCCCACGGAGTTCCAGGGCGCCACGCAGCGCTGCCTGCAGCTGGGCACCTGCCTGCAGAGCTCCCCACCCGGCTCCTCGCCCCCCGCAGCCTCCAGGAGGCGTGGGACCAAGGCTGCCAGGCATGGTTCCGAGGAGACCCGGCCACAGTCCTGCCTGGTGGGCTCGGCGACAGGCAGGCCGGGCGGGGAGGGCAGCCCCAGCCCTAAGACCCAGGAGAACAGCCTCAAACGCAGGCTGTTCCGAAGCATGTTCCTGTCTACTCCTGCCACAGCCCCTGCAAGTGGCAGCAAGCCGGGCCCTCCCTCCCAGAGCAAGGTAGGTGGGGCTGGGACCACCCTCTGGGCCACTCTCAGCAGGGCAGGGAGCCTGGCCTTCCCCACTTACAGGGTCAGGCTAGGGAGAGCGTAAGGGAACAGAATGATTGAGAGCCTCTGCTGAGGATTCTACCCTGAACCAGATGAGCTCTGCTCTTCCATAGGCTTAGCACGGGTGAGTTAGAGGTTGCCGGCCAGCTCATTTTCTGGGGGGCCTCAGAGGGGCTTTCGGTACACCCCAATTTACATTCCTGCCCTCTGCAGTGTGTCTAGGTGGACCACACTGGGAGGCAGTCACCTTTAACCATAAGCGCAGACCTTCCCCTGCCCCTGGAGCCCAGCGACCCCCAGCCGGGCCCCAGCAGAGATAGGTGCTCCAGTGCTGGGCAGGGGCAGGGGCTCGGCCTCCCTCTTCTAAGAGCTTCTTTCCACCTCCGCCCCTCACTTGCCCCAGTGCTCTCCTGAAGTCGAACACAGGCTCCCTGGACGGCTTTGCCCTCAGGAGTCAGAGATGTTCATGTGAACCCCTTCTCCAGTGAGGAGGATTCTTCCCTTCCTACCCTGACCCCGCCTTTTTTTTTTTTTTTTAAGATTTATTTATTTATTTATTTGAGAGAGAGAGTGCAAGTGCAGGGAGGGGCGGAGGGAGAGAGAACTTTTAGCAGACTCCTAGCTGAGCTTAGAGCCCGATGTAGGGCTCGATCCCATGACCCTGAGATGATGACCTGAGCCAAAACCAAGAGTCCGACACTTAACCGACTGAGCCCCCCAGGCGCCCTCCTCCCCTTTTCTTGAGTGGTTGTTTGGTTTACTATTTCTGTAATGATTTGTTCTGCAGTTTGTGTGCCATGTGAAAAGCTGGAGGATTGAGTTAGCCTAGGCCCGGGAGCAGCAGGAAAGCCAACTTTTGGCATGCGCCACAGCCTCAAATGCACAGATTTTTCTTGGGAAATAGGAAATAGCGAAGGGACATTTTTTGGCAGGCAGAGGAGAATGTTCTTGCTTCTTCCATGCCCTATGATGTCCTGTCCCTGGTGACAGCACCATCCTTTCTCATTTGGCAGATGAGAAGGTGGGCTCAGAGAGGGTCGGACGAGCCCCAGGTGTGGAGACTGAGTCAAGGGAGGCAGCAGTGAGAGGGCCTCTGGGCTCGCGCCTCTTACTCGCCAAGGCTTTCTGATCATGGCATCTCTAGCTCCTTCGTGAGGGGCAGGCAGAAATGAGCTTACCCACTGCAGCGCAAGGGTGGGAAGTCAGACCTAAGAAACAACTGGTGACAGTGACCCGAGTGACAGAGCTCCCCTCCCCCGGAAGGCTTTCAGAGCAAGCCTGGCACCTCCCTGGCGGCAGCGGCACATGAGCGTGCTCCAGCCAGAACTTGGGTGGAGAGTTTGGGGAGCAGCCTGGACCCTCAACCTTTCTAAGTCACTGCCAGCCCAAGGCACCCAGGGAAGGTTCTGGGCTTTGTGCACTCGCTGGGATGAAGGATGCAGGCTGGGCTCCCTTGTGGAGTGGGGGATAGAGGGCCAAACAAGTGAGATGTGGCGTGGTGTGTCTGTGAGCTAGGAGGTCTCTGGAAGGCCGTGCTCCCGGAGAGACACTTCCTTGAAAAGGCAGGTGGGAGCAGGCCTGTGCACACTGCCCAGGAGGTGAGAACTGGAACTTGATTGCTTGCTGGCCTCTTGGGAATCCTGTGGCGGGGCTTCAGGGGGGAAAGGGGGTGTCAACATGACCTGCATGTTTCTGAGCTCCTGACAGCTCCCCACAGTGGGGAACAGGCTGTCCAGCCAGCCTCGGTCAGCCTGCCCGTCCTGCATGTTACCAAGGATCTACCATAGACCACCGCAGCTGGGTGTGCCGTGGAAGCATGGGGTCGTCGTCTGGGGCTGGGAGACACCACAGTTCCAAACCCAGGGCAGTGGCTTCCTTCCCGGCACCTGGGGCATACGTTTCTAGAGAAATACTTCCAAGCCAGGCCTCTAAAAGGCAGGGCTGAGACTTCCTCCTAGCTGCTCTGGGCCAGGGCTCCTCAACCCCTGCCCTACTGACATTTGGATCCTATAATCCTTGGTCGTAGGGGCTGTCCTGTGCATTGTAGGATATTTAAGAGCATCTCTGGCCTCTACCCACTAGATGCTTTTAGCCCCTCTCAGCTGGGACAACCAGAAGTCCCCCCAGACATTGCCAAGTGTCCTTTGGGGGGATAAAATCAGCCCCAGCTGAGAACCACTGTGTCCAGCTTCCTACTCCTACCCCCACAGCCCCAGGAACCCCAAACCAAAGCAGCAGTCCACCTCTGCCCCTCAGCACGCCCCAGGGCTTGGCTCAGGACCCTCACAGCAGCAACTGCAGCAGCTGTCCGTGCACTGGGGCCCTAGGAGGTCAAGCCACCAGCTGCCACAGCAGGCCAGCAGGGGCTACAGAACGGTGTATGGCTCTGGGGCTTTGTACTCAGCCCCAGGAAGCTTGGCCTGTAGTCACTCACTTTGGCTAAACAGCAAAAGACCTCGAGCCCTGACTGGGGGCAGGGAGGCCAAATCGCTGTAAGACCGGAACTGGGGGCATTTAGAAGTGGTTCCACTTAGAGGCAGAAAGGCTAAATCAGAAGACCTCAACAATCAGCAAACCTTGGTTAAACATCTACTGTATACCCTGTACTCTTGTTATACGCCAAGGACCTCCAACAGGACCACAGCTTAGGGGTGAGGGGTCCGGCGGACCAGGCCTGAAGTCAGCCTTGCGCCTTACTACTTAGTGCCTCCGGGCAAATTACTTAACCTCTCTGAGCCTGTTTCCTTTTCGACAAATACAGACAATAATAGCACCCATGGAATGATAAAACAACCCAAAGGTCATGAGAATTAGATCAGATTATGCATTTAAGGCCCTTGTCAAAGTGGTACACCCTCAATAAATGGCTTTATTATTTTTAAAACATTAGAACATGGCCTTTGCCTCCGAGGCACTTAGATTACAGCCCCCCAAGAGCCCACGGCTGGAGAGCCTGGCCCTGTCGCCAAGGCCCAGGAAGGGGAGATGAGGCATCATTGTAACTGCATGCCCGGCTCTTCCGGTGGCTTCCCGCCCATGATGTCTCAGTTTCACAAGGAACTCCAGAGCCTGTAACAACTAATTCCATCTTTTGTCCCCCTTTCTCTTTCTTGGTATGGCTTAAGAGGTTTCCTCTGGCCTTTTCTTGTGGTGACATTAAGTAAAAGCTCCCTTCTTGTGGAGACCGGCAGCAAGGCCAACAAAGGCACGCTGGGGACCAGAACCTGCTGAGGTGAAGACGGGGCCCAGCCCGACTACCTCGCATCCCATGTCCTAGGCCACACTGGAGCTGGGCTCTCGGCTGGATCTCTGCCCTTTGCCGCTTCCATCCATCCACCCACCCACCCACCCACCACACCCTTGGCCCCTGGTTCAGCAAGCACCTGTAGCAGTGTCTCCACAGGGCCTTGACAGTGGAGGGGGAGCGAATCCCCTCCTTGGCCCCTCGGCATGGCCGGTGCTCACCTGCCCCACCTCCACCGCCCAAGCCAACTCAACCAGAGAGCAGAGACAGCCGTGTAGGGGGCCGAGAGGCCAGCAGGTGAAGGGAATCATTTCACAGCCTGCCTTCGACGTCCAGGTGGAGAGAGGTCAAGGACTGATTAGAGCAACCTCAAGAGCAGCTCTAGATGCTTCTAGGTCCCCAAATTCTGTCCAGCCCGACCCAGAGGCTGAGAGAGCATGTTTTCTGTGAGCCACGCCTTGCAGGCCAGCAGGCAGCCTCTTTTCAGCGCCTTGGGGGCTGCCTCGGTGACCACGTGAGGAAGTGAGCTGTGTAGGGTGCTGCCCTGTGAAGCCTCTGCTCCCAGGACATGGCCTTCCAGCCTCAGGAGTGGCCGTGCTCTCTGCACCCCCAGTCCCCAGGCCTCCCACAACCTTCCTGAGGCGATGGAATCACAGAGCCCATTTGTCCAAAGCTGCTCCCAGTGTGGTCCACGGTCCTCCAGCGTCAGAGCCCAGGGGCCTCGTTAAAATGCAGAGTCACTGTTCTAGGGACTTACTGAAGCAGGAATCTGCATGTTATCCAGCTTCCCAGATCACTGCACAGTGATTGATAGACGAGACGGGCTCAGAGAGGGTGAGCGGCCTGAGCTTCATCGCTGGTCAGAGCCTGAGCAGTACTGGAATCTAGGTCGTGACCCCCCACTCCAGAGGTCCCACTGCTCCACTACACAGAGTGGGGAAATATGGGTGAGGGGCAGGTGCTGGTGAAGACATGGGCAGGTCTCTTTACTGTCCAGATGTGCTCACCGGGCAGGATAGAGTCGTCCCGGCAGTGCTGGGAGGCTCTCCTGGCTTCTTCACTGTGAAGGCTGAGCCTGAGCCAGGCAGTATGCCAGAGGCTGGTGCACACTTTGGGGAGTGCAGGCGGGGTGGGGGTGGCAGAGTCTACCACAGCTCAGCTCTCTTCTGGCAGGGGCACTCGCATACATGTTCCTCTCTAGGCAAGATCAGGCACTGTGTAAGGTGGGGTGGGCACCCTGAAGCCTGGGGAGAGGGTGCTGAAGACGTTAACAAGGTTCTGGGGTGTCCTTGGGGTGTCCTCTGCTGAAGCCTGGTAGGGTCCAAGGCCCAGACTTGGGGTCCCTCAGCCCAAGCTGAGCGCTTGAGGAGAGTTCTTGGAGGTCGATGCAGTTCTGGGGATCTGGACCAGGACCCACTGGGCAACTAGACAAGTGCCATATGATGGGTTCTGAGATGTTCTGGAAAGTTCTGTGCAGCCCCCGAAGTGTCCCTCGTTAGGTTATTTATGGCCCTTTCCAGGTGCCCCTTTTAAAATCATATAATCCCTGGGAAGAGTCATGTTGCACATCGCCAGCTCTTGGAGAGGACCCAAGGAGGGGACCCTTTCCTGCCAGGCTGGCAGGAGGGCTTGGGCCCTGAAAGGCAAGGAGCCTCAGAGGCTTCAGGGCTGGGCCTTGGGCTCACTGAGGCCCAGTCTGCCACTCAGTTTCACCTTCCCTCCCTCTCCATCCGAGGCCATAACGATAGCCCTCCTCCCCACCTTCCCTTCCATGTGAGGGTCATCAGCCAGGGGTCATGCTCGGGAGCAAGTACAGAGGCTACTCCGGGGAACTCCTAGGAAACCTCCCTACCCCTGGCCCCGGGGCTTGAGTTAGGCTGGACCTACCCTCCTAATTCCAGATGTCTCTGGCACCAGATCCCTAGCCCAGGAGACATACCTGCGAACGCCCCAGAGGGTAACACGGTCTCTGGTCCTTTGCTGGGGACATGCTCTCACAGCATAGACACGTAGACTCCCTGCTGTCAGGCATGAGTGGGGCTATCAGATAGGGGGATAGGTCCAGCCTAACCCAAGCCCTGTGCTGGGAAGCAGTCCCAGCTGCCTTGCTGTCCACCCCCCGCCACCCCACTGCCCGGGGCCTCTGCTGCCCACGTGGGCCCTTGGGTGGGAGCGCCCCAGGAATGAAGAATGCCTCTGACCCAGATTCCCCAACCACAGCCCGGCAGTACAGAGGGAAGACGGCCTCTCGGTGGCCTCCCTGGGGTCTGGCTGTCAATTACCCAGGAAGAAATACCCAGCAGAGGACACCCCAGGGACTCTGCTTCCTTCAGCTTCCCAGGCGTGGCAGAGCGGATGTAAAGAGCTGCCGTTCGGACTGCTCACCTGGGAAAACGCTGGGGGCTGGGTTCCCGAGCAGGAACTTTGGCTTCAGCTCCATTTGACAGTCCTTGCCCACAGCACCTCCCCTATCTGGTCCGATGCCCTGTGTCAGACCTGCCCCTGTCCAGAGGTCACCCCCTGCTGCTGGGAAGGTCGCTGCAAACACTGCCACAGCCAAACCCTTCTCTGTTTCTCTTTCCCTCCCTGCAGCCTAACTCCTCTTTCCGACCACCGCAAAAAGACCCCCCACCAAGCCTGGTGGCCAAGGCCCAGTCCTTGCCCTCGGACCAGCCCATGGGGACCTTCAGCCCTCTGACCACCTCGGATACCAGCAGCCCCCAGAGGTCCCTCCGCACAGCGCCCGCTGCCGGCCCACCCCCAGGCCGGTCCTCCCCCGCAGGCTCCCCACGCACCAGGCAAGCCCAGATTAGCACCAGCAACCTGTACCTGCCCCAGGACCCTGCGGTGGCCAAGGGCGCCCTGGCTGGCGAGGACACAGGTGTTGTGACACATGAGCAATTCAAGGCTGCACTCAGGATGGTGGTGGACCAGGGTGACCCCCGGATGCTGCTGGACAGCTACGTAAAGATCGGCGAGGGCTCCACAGGCATCGTCTGTCTGGCCCGGGAGAAGCACTCAGGCCGCCAGGTGGCCGTCAAGATGATGGACCTCAGGAAGCAGCAGCGCAGGGAGCTGCTCTTTAATGAGGTGGGAGGAGAGGGCGGGACGTGGTGGGGCGCTTAGGATGAACATCTGGGAGCAGGGCCGTGGGGACCGGGCCTGGCACTCAGGCACCCCCGTCTGCCCCCCAGGTGGTGATCATGCGAGACTACCAGCACCTCAACGTGGTGGAGATGTACAAGAGCTACCTGGTGGGCGAGGAGCTGTGGGTGCTTATGGAGTTCCTACAGGGCGGGGCCCTCACGGACATCGTCTCCCAAGTCAGGTGGGCAACAGGGGGCCTGGGCTCTGAGAGCTGGCTGCCCCCACCATTGTCCCGGCAGGGGGATTGGGCAGCCTCAGGCCAGGAAAACTTGGGGTGCCTGTCACATCACTGTGAGCCACCCCCTGTCCATCTGGGTTAACAGACCCAGGAGGGTTCAGGGCAGTGGGGTGGGGTCTCCAGCCTAGGTCCAGGCCCATTTCCACCAAGGCTCTGGCGTGACTGGACCCCTACACGTATTGCCCAGGAGCTGTGGGGCCCGGTCCCAGGGGCACCTAATCTGCCCAGCCCGGCTGCCCTGCAGCCCTGCCAAAGCTCACGTTTTCTTCTGTCTGCGTCCTGGCCTTCCCTGTCCAGGCTGAACGAGGAGCAGATCGCCACTGTGTGCGAGGCCGTGCTGCAGGCCCTGGCTTACCTGCATGCCCAGGGTGTCATCCACCGGGACATCAAGAGTGACTCCATCCTCCTGACCCTCGATGGCAGGGTAGGGCCCTCCCCAGCCTGGCGCACCTGTGCCCCTCCCCCTGCGTCTGTGCTCCCAGCTCAGCTCCTGCCCTAGTTCACCACTCCCTGTCCCCCCACCCCCATCTCAACCACAGGTGAAACTCTCGGACTTCGGATTCTGTGCTCAGATCAGCAAAGATGTCCCTAAGAGGAAGTCCCTGGTAGGAACCCCCTACTGGATGGCTCCTGAAGTGATCTCTAGGTCTCTGTATGCGACTGAGGTAACCGGTCCTTCCATGCCCCCCGTCCTCCCAGAAGTTCCTATTGGGAACAAACAGCTCATGTGGACCCTGTAGAGACACCCCTCCCCCAAATAGCCCTGGTTTTCAGATTTCCACTTAGTCAATACACTATCCCACTTCCCTTTGCCCGCCCCCCCCCCCCACCGCCTGCTCCCGCCCGCTCTTGGATGGGTCTGCCCTCGCTTGTGGCTTTGCTGCCACAAACTCTTCCCTGAAATGCTCCTCGTGCAGCTCGTGGGCAGGGTGCGGTGTGGCCAGGCTTCCCCACATCTGATGACCATTCTCTGAGAATGGCTGACAGCTCTGTCCCTACAGTCATTGGGCACTCCTGCAGGAAGTAACCGGCCACAGGGCAGGTGGCCAGGAAGGCCAACTCACCAACGACAGCTGGGACCAGCTGCTCCTGTCCCCCTGCAAATACCCTGCTACCAAGGGGCCCTACTCTGGCCAGTGGCGTCAAGGACATTCTCTTCCTACAGGTGGATATCTGGTCCCTGGGCATCATGGTGATTGAGATGGTGGACGGGGAGCCACCCTACTTCAGTGACTCCCCAGTGCAGGCCATGAAGAGACTCCGGGACAGCCCCCCACCCAGGCTGAAAAACTCTCACAAGGTCAGTCAGTGCTTAGGGTGGACCCTGATGACCACATTCTTCCTGAGGCTGAGGGGACCAGAGCCTGGGCTCCCAGACCCACAATCTCCCTTCCACAGAAGCCAGAGGCTCCCAGAAAAGGCTCCGCCTTCTCCACACAAAACCTGCAGCAAACTCCTGTGGACACTCGGACAAGTTTCCACCTGCAGGCAATTGACAGGTGCCTGAGAGACGGGAAAGCAAGGCTGCCAGGAAACCCTGATATCCTGGGGAGGAATCTAGAGAAGCTAACTGAGCAGAAGCCCCTCCACTCCCTCTGTCAGGGGAGCCGTACCATGGCACGGTGTTCCAGTCTGGCTCAGCAAATTGGCTTGTCCTCCATCAGTGCACATCCTGACCACATCTGAGCCACGGGTTTTCCCTTAAAACCAGTGTGTGTGCACATTTAACCCTTTTCTGCCAAATCCACCCAAACCCACAGGTCTTACCAGTGGACAGCCCCTGCTCGTGGCCTGGTCAGAACAGGGCGGCTAATGGCACTGCCATCTGGTGGCCAGAGTGAGAAATGTCCCAGAGGGTTGAAATGCAGTCCCTAAATGATAAAATACTTCTGGGGCCCCAACACAGCCGGATAGGAGGACAGTCAGGAAGCACCTTCCCAGACAACTGGTCCTTGGAGCCTGCACTGCCAGCCCCAGGACCAACACATAGGGGAGATTTCCAATTGGCTAATTCCCCAGAGGAGGTAGCCTTCTGCAACAGCCCAAGACTTAGCCTTATCCCAAGATACTGGCTCAAAATGAACCAAGACAAGCCCTTGACTTAGACTCCAAGGCTTAGAGCATTAAAGAAATCTCCCTTGTCAGGTCTCACTTTGCTCTTTTCTATTTTTCAAGACACTTCATCCCTGGCCTCTTTTTTGATCTTCACTAAAGACAGGGCAAGCACATTTTATCATTAGCCCATTGGGCAGATAAGAAAACTGAGGTCTAGAGAAAATTGCAACTTGTCAAAGATCAGGGATAGACCTAGGACTGGATCACTAATACCAATCCCATGCCCCTTCCACAGAGCCACAGAGCCTGAAGGCTGAGAGCCTCCGGCAGCAGGGTGGGGAATGGGCTGTGTATTTGCAGCCGGGCTCTCCAGCAGCAGCCCCTAGAGGTGAGCTAGCCACTTTTCCTGGACTGATGCCAAGTTTCTTTACTTACCTGATAATCTGAAAAGTCCTGAGCCTGGGAGCTGCCAGGAAGTAAGAAACAAGAGAATTCAAGACCTTCAAAAGATGGTGGGGCCGGGCAGACGAGTCACCCCAAAGTGACTGCATGCGGTGGCTTCCACTCAGTGCTGCCCTGTCTCCACAGGTCTCCCCAGTGCTTCGAGATTTCCTGGAACGGATGCTGGTGCGGGACCCGCAGGAGAGAGCCACGGCTCAGGAGCTCCTGGACCACCCTTTCCTGCTGCAGACAGGGCTGCCCGAGTGCCTGGTGCCCCTGATCCAGCTCTACCGCAAGCAGACCTCCACCTGCTGAGCCCACCCCCAGAGCGCACCTGCCACCCCTGCCCGCAGGCAGGGGACACTGGGCAGCCAGCCTGCCGGCAGGGCCTGCCTGCCTCATTCTCTCAGTATTCTCTCCAAAGATTGAATGTGAAACCCCACCCACACCCTCCTGCCCTTCAGCCCACTGGGCCAGGCCGGACCTGCCCCTTGGTCTCTCTCCCTCCCCAGAGAGTCCCCAGTTGCCTTTGGGATGATGGAGACCCTTCTACAGGATGACCCTTTGTTATTTGCACAGGGATATTTCTAAGAAACATGGAGACCAGCACTCCTGGCCACTGTGGCCAACCCAGCAGAAAAAAGCTGCTGTTTTTTAAAGGTAGTTGTGCACTAGCATCCCAGGCCACCCAAGAGGGCAGACTGCCTGTCCTCACCAGGATACTTGCTGTTCTCAGCTCCAGCTCTAAACCCTGGGGTCTCAAGAGGGCCACAGGGAAGGTTTCTACTGCCTGAAGCTGTCTTCCTCCCTCGTGTCTGACTTCCCGAAGGTACAGTCCGACCTGCACCTGCTTCCCAACCCACCTGCACTGACATCACTCTCCCTGCACAGCCTGCCCTGAAGTGTGAACAGCCTGCTCGCAGGCCAGGGAAGGAGGAGGAGCGTTTTTTCTGGGAGAAAGAGAAAGAACGGAGTTAGTGGTAAACGTGGTCTTACTTTACAGGATGGAGAGAACATCGTGTGTGTGCGTCTGTGTGTGTGTGTGTGTGTGTGTGTGTGTGTGTGTGTGTAAGTGGCAGACGGTCACCCCGACAGCCTGGCTCCCTTCAGGTCACCCATGGCCAGCAATAAGGCTTCTCCATCCTTTCTGCCACTAAGTTCTACTCTGAAGGGACCTGCTTTCTTGGCCTGGCTTCCCACCTCCCAAATGTCTCTTGTTTCTACCTGACCAGCGAAGAGATCTGCGTTGAGTCTAGTGCATCCTAGGGGCTTGGCAGATTTCTGAGTTTCACCTATACTGTGGAGTCTCAGAGCCAGAGACAGGAATGGCGAGGGAACAGACTTTGTTTTACCTGTGAGCTTCATCTCAATAACCAGGTCATCAAGGACCCGTTCTTTCAAAATCTTGGTCTGGGGGGGGAGGTGAACCATCTCCTGGGGTCCCATCCTGTCAAGAAAATGGGCACCCCCTTTGTGCAAACCTATCGGCCCTAGCTGCCTCTTCAGACACCTGTCTCCTTGTCCCCCTTCCCTCCGCACCTTCAGGGATGTTGTGAGTCAGGGAATCCAGGGAAGAACTCCAGGTGTCAGGACCCTATCTAGATAATATTTTTAGATTCCTCTGCTCCCTAGTGGCCTGCTTTGGGGCCAAAAATAAATTGCAAGGACTTTTTTAAGGGTCAGAGTTTTAAAAACAAAAGCATCTTCCCTAGAAACTTTTGTGAATTGTTTGCACTTGTGCCTGTTTTAAATTAAACTAAGTGTTCAAAACCTCTGGGCTCTTGTGTCTGAGAATGGAGCCAGGCTGTCTTCAAGCCGGACACCCTGCAGTGGGTGTCTGGTGTGCCCTCCCCCCCCCCCCCGAACATGAGCTCCCCAGCAGTCACTCAAGCCCACAGAAAACCCAGCTCCCTGGTGGCATGTGGGCCCGTGAGGGCAGATAAGGAGGGAAACAGGAAGTGAAAGGCCCTCGGGGCTGAAAGAGCTGAGAAAGAGACAGAGCTCTCCTTCCCAGGGGAGCAGAACCCAGCCAGGAAAGCCCGGGCCATGTGCTGTGCTTGCTGGCACACAGGGGCTCTGGGGGCAGCCACCGGGGCTGATGACCACTTTCTGCATCAGTGTCTCTCATATCCCTTTTGCTTCGCACTCCAAGGCAAGTCAGAGGCTGCCCTCCCCACTGCTGTCCATAGGAAGTGGCTGGAGGCTGCTTCCAGGGAGAAAGCAGTCTCTGTTTCAGTTCTCAGAACTGAGGGGTTATGAAGGAGCAGTGCAGTGGCTGGAAATCAAGCGACCTCGGTCCTAGTCCTGCGGGGAGGGGAGGTGGATGGAATTCTCTTTCAACTTCTAGCTCTGACTCTGCTTCCAGCACTGCCTTCCTGAGAGCTCATCCTGTCCCCCAGCCCAGGGCTCACGGAACCCTCTCAACCAGCATCCAGGAGTCGTGAGTCGGGCAGACTTTCTCCTGCTCCCCTAGCAGTCCCACCCAGACAGCTGCCCTGGTCGGAGGGTCCTAGTCCCACCAACTCAGTCCAAAGCCGAACCGAGTCCTGCCTTCAGGACGCAGCCACAGTGCCCAGTGGGAGAGACAGGGATGGAGGCTGGTGGAAGGCGGAAGCTTTGCGGGAAGCAAGCACACCCTTCTGCGGCTCCGGAGGGAGCCCAGAATCAGGAGCCGCTGGTAAGGCAAAGAGAGGCCAGTTCTTGCAACTGAATAATACTGGATTTATTAACTATTCTGAGTTCTAATAGTCCTTCCACCACACAGTGTCATTCCAAAAGCATGTGTGTACGTCATTTAGCCTCCCACACAGACTAGTTCTGAGCTTGATGTTAGGGTACCGAGATCCAGTGGCCTGGGTGATTCTTCACAACAATGAAAGCAACAAGAGTTGGAAAAGAAAACTGTTTAGAAAAGTCTCTTCTAAAGTGGAGTGAGCTTGAGAGGACCCCAGCCTCAAAGCCCTGGGGCTGACAATGACAAGGAAGTGCGAAATATGGGCGACATATGGTGACATACAGAGAAGTTCTGCACAGAGCTGGGGAAATCTGCAAGAATGGCAAGTCAGTCAAACACAATTCAGTGCAGACAGGAAAGATCTGTTGTGGTTTTTAAGAAACATTGCTTTCAACCACCAAGCCCTTGGCAACTCCGTGGAGAGGAGCCCTCACGGTTGTTTACTCAATAAGGAGGGCCCTGGGGTGACAATGAACCAGAAAGCCACAGGTCAGCGACATTTGAAAGATGACAGCACCTTCTGCCATCTGTTCAACCCAGACCTTATGGTGTTCTGAAGAAGCCAAATACTTGTATCCTTACACCATTAAAAAACTCTGTGAAAATTAAACACAGAAAGGGAATAAGTGAGCAAGCAGGGGTCAGAAAAAAAGGAATTTGTACCTGGGATGTCCAATTATCCCCCATCCCACCCCAGATCCTCTCCCTCTGGCTTTTCAGGTGCTTCTGTATTGTTCCACCACCCAGACAGTGGGACTGAGGAGAGGCAGGTGTGTGGGGAGAAAGGAGTAGGGGGAGGGCAACCCCCCCCCAAAAGAAAACAAATCTCATCAGAGGAAAACAGTGCAGGGGCGCCTGGGTGGCTCAGATGGTTAAGCGTCTGTCTTCGGCTCAGGTCACGATCCCAGGGCCCTGGGATTGAGCCCCACATCGGGCTCCCTGCTCAGCGGGAAGCCTGCTTCTCCCCCTCCCTCTGCTTCTCCCCCTGCTCATATTCTCTATCTCTGTGACTCGAATGAATAAAAAATCCTTTAAAAAAAAAAGGGAAAACAGTGCAGCTTCAGAAATTATAAACAAGGAGTTGGAGACTCCTGTTTTTCAGAACAGAGCAGGAGCTCTATGGACATGGGAGCCTTAACTTGGAAGATCTTGGGGTCCTTAGTGAAGAAGGGTCTGGGCTCCTGCTACTCCAAATCCGAGTTGTTTTTGTTTGTTTGTTTGTTTGCTTATTGTCCCTCACTTCACTGCTGGGAAATGACTTCAAGTATCCGGATTTAACATACGACAAGAGGAAGAGGATTCCATGGGTAAAAGCACACGGAGAAGTACATTGCGGTGATCCCAAGTAAAACCAGAAGTCTAAACTCCGAGCCAGGGCGCCGCGAGGAAAGCCCAGCGCTGCCACCAGGGGGCACCAGAGATCACGTCCAGTGCGGGGTTGCGGGGGGGAGAGGGCGCGGCCTTGCAGACCTCAGAGAGGTGGAAGGATCGGGGAGGTGTCTGACACCTGCACCAGGCCCGCTCACCTCCAGGACCAGTTTCTCAGCACAGATCATTCTCGCTCTTGGAAGTTCCCTTAGAGTTACTGGTGAGAAACCTTCCGTTCTGCAAAGGCATATAGATCGACGTCTTGAAAAGACCCCACCTCAGACGGGTGAGGCGCCGCACGCTCAACCTTCGGGGTTCACAAAAAGAGACCCCCAAGCGCCAACGACCCCGCGGGCTGGACGCACAGATACCTGTGCTAGCGCTTCCGCAGGGTCCTGGGGCACGCGATCGCTAGACCCGCTAGAACTCTCCCCCCGCCCCCACACATTTCTTAGGTCCGCACAAAGAGGAGGGCAGGGAGGGAGGGGAAGAGGAAGGACCAGGCCGGGAAAGGGCATTTAACCACCTCCCCGCGGTGGCCTCTGATTCACTAATCTGCCCAGTAATGAAGCTGGGCGGGACCTGCGTCCCACGCGCGGGGGCAGAGGCAGGGGTCCTTGGTCTCGACCTCCAGCATCCGTCATCCGCCCTGCCCTCCATTAACGGCCCAGCGAGAAGCAGGAGCCCTTTAACAGCCCCCTTCCAGCTCTCGCAGGAGTTTGATGTAATTTAAACCCGGACCTGCGGCTCGTGTGGGCTTCCCGACTCCCGCGCGCCGCCGTTTAACGTGGCAAACACTTCAGTCAATTATCCCCCTCGCAGAGCTTCTATTTAAAGAGACATTGTCAGGTTCTTAAGCCTCGGATCAGACCCGCTGCTTTCTGCTTCATATACAAAGACTCAAAACACGAGTTCTTTGAGGATTGGAAGAAATACAATTAAACCAAGCCTTCGCAACCATTCCACCCTGCCGGAGCACCCACGTGCGGGCCGGGGGAGCTGGGAGGTGGTGGGGGCGGGGAAGAGCCAAGTCCTTTCCATTTCAGGCTCTAAGAGTGAGAGGAAATAAGGCTGGGCCCTGAGGGGCAAGACCTCAAAGATAAAACTCAAATGCAGCTGAGCTGAAGCTCTGCTCAGGTGCTGGGAGCTGGGCTCAGTAGGCGTTGCTGTAGGGCAATGACCCCACATCATCAGTGAAGTTGAAAACTGGGTCTGCGGAGCTGGAATTACCCAGAAGCTATTTCAGGGGACAACTAGCCTTCAGTACCAGGGCCTCTGCCACCCCTAAATATGCTCTCATTTTCTTGAGGCAGGAGTTTCTCCCCAGAAAAACTTAACCTCCAGATTCCTTCCTAATCAGCCCTCCTGTCCAGAAGGGCTCAAAGGCTGGTCTCCTTGCTCTCCTTCTCCAACACTTAACAGGAAGGGACACTTTGGTGGCATGCAACATTGCCGGCCACATCACTAGGCAGAGGGGGGAGGCTAGGCCTTTTTTCTACAGGTCAACTCTTCTGCTGCCTGGGTGCCAGGGTGTGGGAAACTGGTAAGGAGGAGGTGACCCGGCAGGAGTCGGCAAGACTCAGAACTGAGCCTTAGGGCTCAGAGTAGGGGGTCCATCTTCCTGGCTGAAAGGCTGTAGCCTATAGAACCAGTCTTCTACTCCTCCCCTCCAGGACAGGAAAGGTAGGCTATAGGGACAGTGAGAGACCTAGGCAGGGAATACCAACAAGCACACACACACAAAAGAAATAAAATAGGGGTTCTTTTCAGAGAGAGGATTGGTAGGGGTCTGGCCTGGGCAGTGGGGACAGGTTCTGGGATCACAGGCCAGGAAACTGCCAGGAAAGTGAGGGACCTGGAAAAAAGAAATCCCAGTGGAGGAGAGACATAAGAGGAGGGGACGCAGGGCTCAACCTCGACGCTATTTACCGCTGAGCGTGCAGCACCACGGCCTCCGTGCCCACCTGCCAAGGCTGAGGCCCAGGCACCGAGGGGGGCAGAGCGTTGGCCTCTAACTCCGCGCCGCTCTCGGGCCCTGATGCCTCCCCGACCAGGCTGGGGATGTCTGGAGCGGTGGAGCGTCGACGCAAACCCAAACGGCCAGAGCCGGGGCCGCCCTCCGGGTGGGGGCTAAGGCCAATGGGGGCTTGCACTAAGGTCGGAGGCGCTCCCTCCAGCACCTCCTGCGAACGCCACCGCCCGGTCCCTGAAGACTGGGGCGAGTGTGGTCGAGCCATCAGGGCTCCCGCCCGCAGCCGAGCCGCTTCCTCCTCGGTTACAGCACCGAGCGCCAGGCTCATGCTTCGGCCCAGCTCGGGCCTCTCGCTGCCCTGTGCTCGGTGCCGGCCCGAGCCCTTGCCCCCTGACCCAGCCTCGTCGCCGTGACCGTGGCCGCCGGCCGCTCGCGCAAAGCGCGCCAGGAGAGGCCGAGGTAAGCGGCGGGGGCTGGGCCGTCGGCGCTCCGGACTGGGCGCGGGAGCCGGACGGCCAGGGGGGCTGTCGGAGTTGGAGCCCCGGGCCGCGGCGGCTGCGGCCGCGCGGCCCCAGGGCCCGGTGAGGGCTTGCACGCAGGTCCCGTGGCCGCGGGCGGCTGCCAGCTGCAACGCCGTGAGACCCGCTCGGTTGGTGCGGTCGAGGCGCAGGCCGAGGCGGCGGAAAGAGCGCACCAGGAACTCGAGCACCGCCCCATGGCCGCACGCCGCCGCCCACATCACTGGGCTGTTGCCCGCCGAGTCGGCCGCCTCGGGGTCGCCGCTGAACTGCACCAACAGCTGCACCGCGTCCAGGTGGCCGCGCTCGCACGCCAGGCTGAGTGCCGTGCGACCGCGCTCGTCCCGCAGGTTCACGGCCGCACCCTGCTCCAGCAGTAGCCGCACGAAGCGCGCGCGCAGCGCGGGGTCCGGCAGCCCCACCGCCACCATGAGCGGCGTGCGGCCCTGCTCCGCGCGGCAGTCGATGATGCTGCGGTCCAGCGCATCCAGTACAAAGCGGGCCAGGTGCACTTTGCCCGCCTGCATGGCCTCCAGAAAGGTGCGCGTACCCGCTCGGGGGCACAGGTCCTTGGGCTTGAGCATGGCCCCAGCCGCCGCTCCCAGGCGGCCCAGCAGCTCCGCACGGGGGCGCCCCTGTTCCCGCGCCCCGCCGGGCTCTGGGCCCCGCTGGGGCTCTGGTGTGGCTCCCTCCGCGCGTGGGCAGCTGCAGCCGAGGGTCCTGACGTTCCCACTCTTGTGCCCCAGTGGCTCCCGTTTCCCCGCCGCTCCTGGGCCGCACGCCTGGTGTCTCGCAGCTCCTTCCCTGGGCTTCCCGCCTGGAGGTGTAGGTTGCTCGCTACTCTGGGCTCTGCGCCTGGCCCGCCACAAGACTACGGGAGCCAAAGCTCGGCCCCCTCCTGTTTGTCCCGCTGTTTCCCGCGTGTCCGGTGCCCCTCCGTCCCTTGTGGCTTGGTGCCGCGCCACTCACCCGCACCCGGGGCAGCCCCCGCTCCCCTGATGAGACGGTGGCGCCCGCCGAGCGCGCCTGCCTCCAGCCCTGGCGGGGCGCGCCGCTCCTCAAGCTGCTGGCGCCGCTCCTCCGCCTCCTCCCCCTCGCGGGGGCCGGGCCACACCGGGGCGCCTGCTCCTTACTTGGGGGGCTCAGCGGCGCGGGAGCCGCCGCCCGCCTGCGTATCTGGCTTTATAGCCTCGGGGGTCTCCATGGCAATGGCTGCCCTGGAAGCGGGCTGAGCCTTACCCGCAGGAACGCGCCAGGCGGGAGAGACCGCCCCTGACCCCCACCCCTTCGTGGGCCACGAAGTCGGGGAGCGGCTCCTCCTCCGCGCTCCCCTGGGGCTGCCGCGGCGGTTGCGGGGCGGGGGCGGCGGCTGCTCGCTGGGGGCCGCATGCACCAGGCCAGGCCAATCCCAAAGTCACAGTCGTCTCTTCTCGCCTCCCCACCCTCCGCCCCTACCGGAGTCGGTGCCCTCGGCTCATTAGAAACTTAGGACCTCGGGCCCGTCGGGGAAGACGGAGGCCCGCCTCCAGCGGTCCAGGTGGAAGGAAACGGGACCCCACGAGGGCAGAACTGGACCATAAGCGAGCTGGAAGGCGGCGGCGAAAAGCGAAAGGGGAGTAATTGGCAGGGGCGGGGGGGGGTACCTGCGCTGCGCGCGGGGTGGGGGGCGCTTATTCTGGCTGAGAACTGCCACTCGAAGTGTAGCGAATCACGCACTCACACACAATTGTTCCTCCCGCACACGCTCACTCGGAGCGGGGGTGTGTGTGTGGGGGGGTAGACTGCGCCCTCCAATCTCCGACGTCTCCAACCCCGACCACGCGCCGGAGCTCCAGCTCCCCGGCGGCTGACAGGCAGGCGGAGCGGAGACGCGGCGGCCAGGGCGGGCGCCTGGGGATTCGAGAGCGCTGCAGCCACGTTAACAACTCCCCCGCGCCGCCTCCCCGCCGCTTCGGGGACGGCCGCCACCCCGGAAAATGTGAGAGAGCTACGCAAGGCTCCCCTACGGTCCTCGTCTCCCTCCGAAGCACAAACCCACCCCCGGACCCCCGGGCTCTGATTCTGACTGCTAGCTGACCCCTTTGGAAGGGAAGGAGAAGAGAGCGGGAGTCACCAGGGTGTGGAAAACCTGCGGCATCCCCTATCCCTCCTGAGGTGGGGGGCGGTGGTGCTCAGGCCTCGGTTGAGGGGAGTCAGGGCTCCTCAGAGCCGCCGGGGTGGCGGGGAAGGGTGTCTCGGGATGGAATGAAGATTTGTGAAGTGTAAAGAAGTGAATCAGTTATCAACTACAGAATTTACTGAGACTTTTTATGAGCCAGGCATTGTGTTCCTAGCTGTAGGAAATACCGAAGCAGAAGCTCAGTTCTGGATAGAAGAGACCTTCCCTCTCAAGCGGGAAGACAAGACCAGGACAAAAAAGTAGAGGCTATCAGCTCAGGGCTGAATACATCTGTGAAATACAAACAAAACCAAGACAGTGCTTAGAAGAAAAGGTAGAGTTGGGTGTGAGGGGCTCCCAGGTAGTCTGAAGCTAGGACTCCGCAGGTGGTCCTCGAGGATGTGGGGGATCTGGCTGCGTGGAAGTAAGGAAGACATTCCAGACAAGGTTACTGAGGCAAGGACATGGAAGCAAGAAAAACACCTCCAGGGGACAGTACTGAGGGCTGCTTTACCAAGTACCTTCCTGTGGAAGATAGGAAATGAGGGGAATAATAAAGCTGCCCTGAGCCTGGGCAGAGCCATGATTAGATGGTTTGCAGCAGGAGCCCTCTGGGGAAAGGTTCTGGACAAGAAGAGGATTTGCCTCTGGGAAGGAGACAGTGGGCCCAGATGGGTGAGTGGCAAAGTGCCCACAGGGCCCTGCACTCCAGGCTTCTTGCCTTTCTCCAGCTCCTAGACTTCAGGATGGCCACCTGGCATCCTGGGCCCAGCTACGAGCAGGGGCCCCCACTTCCTCCATTCTGGGGTGGTGGTGCCTGTGATGTATGCCTGTATATACTGTCAAGCCCCATTCCCTTTATCTTTTTGCATTCTCTAACCCCCCTGCTCTGCCAGTTTTCTCTCATGGTACCACAGAAAGGGCACAGCATTTGACCCCAGAGTTAAGTCCCAGCTTGAAGGCCTTTACCAGAGTGTGGCTCTAGGCCTGCACGGTCTCACCGGCAAAATGAAGCCCACAGTACTAGCTCTGCCCGCTGTAGGCAACATCAAGCCGGACAGCGTCCGGGAAAGAGCTGTACAGTTATTCAGAGTGTAGAAAGTCCCATCTCACCCCCAGACGTCGGGGCCCCACCTGGGGTGTCACCTGGGGGTGGGGCACAGACTCTCCAACCCCAGCAAGGATGCAGAGAAGCTCTCCCTCTACTCAGATAGAAGAAAGGCTTTCCTTCCCTTCATGACTCAATCTCCCTTTTCCACAGCATGAGGGAAATTGCTTTCTTCCCTTCTTTCTGTTTCCAGAGGCAGGGAAGGAGGTGACCCTGGAATCTGTGTGCGGCAGGCAGGCCAGCCTGACAAGCCGGTGGTGACACAGCGCAGGTAGAGGAGAGAAGCAGTGTGAGCATGGAATGGGCACCTGCTTGGTCCTAAAGAACCATGGCCCCTCCTCCGTGAGCTTCCCCGAGACAACTCTGCCTCGGGGCCGATGGAGACTGTTCCAGGGAAGCAGGGGAGCGGGAGCAGGTCCCTGTCAGGGCCTCACCCTGGCTTGGCCCAGAGCGCCGTGCTGGCCACTCTTTAGAAGAGGCAGCCAGTGCATTTGCTCCACCTGCCACCACCAAACCGGCCAGGCCTGTGGCAGGATGGGGGGATGGTGCCAGGTCTCAGGCCCTGGAGCCTTTGCTTTGACTTTTCCGTAGGCTCAGTATGTTCTGAACAGAAAAGAAATAGCAAAACTGAAAAAACGCTGCGCGTGTGCTGCAGAGCACGGAGGCCCCGACAGCCGGAATTAGAAGCTGTCGCTTAGGGAGCCGAAGGCTGACAGGAGATGGAGCTGAGGCAGGGAGCAGGCAGGCGCTCGGCACTCCCCTTCCCCCCCCCCTCCCCTCCACCTGCTGAGCCTCTCCCCTTGCAGGCCCCAGGCTGGCAAAAGGGCTTCCTCCCAGAGGCGCTAGGCTCCGGTCTGCAGTCTGTCATTCTGTCTGTGGCTGGCCCCCCTCCCGGACCCCTTTCTTTCCTCCTCAAGTGTCACCAGCCCCCTCAGCCTGTCACGTTGCACCAGCTCAGCAGGGTTGGGCCTGGTGGCACACGGCCAGGAGATCCAGAGAGCTGGGGGGGGGGGCAGGGGGTGGGGTGAGTCAGCAGGGGACTCTGGTTTCTGAGTCAGCAATGGGACTGAGAAGGGAGTAGGGACCCTTCCCTTAATGTAAAAGGGAGGCACAATGACTGGACAGGGAACCTTGTCCCAGCGCCACAGATACACAGCAAGAATTTACCTACCCAGGGCCCTGAGGGAGAGTATTAACTCCTCCCCTGCACATCCCCTGCAGCCAGAGGTGAACTCATCTCCAGGGCCCAAAGACTAGGGCATTTTCCTAGGGGGCACCTCACCCTTCTTCCAGAGGACAGAAAGCAGGAAGGTAGGTATCTGGGCCTGGCCTCCTGGGAAGCCCCCAACCTGCTACGCAGAGGCCTCTCTAGGAGGCAGGACTGCATGTCCTAGCCCATTCCTGGGCTTCCCAGCTCCACGCTGGGGGCCCAGAGACTCTGCCTGGTCTGGCTGAGAGGCTAGGGGAGGGCAGTTTCTCCTTCCCCTCAGCAGTCACTGGCAAAAGCTAGGGACTCCCCAGGGGGCTCTCTTTGATACTGGCTCTGGCTTATGCCCGTGGGCCTGGGTCAGTGAATTCCTCTAGCCTGGACCCTCATCCCTGCATGGCTCTACCCCTGGGTTGGCAGGGAGATGGGGCAGTTGCGTGCCCAGCAGGAGAGCTAAAGACAGGGCACTGCTCTGGGGTACAAGTGTCCCACTGTTGGCTGTATCCAGTGTGTATGCAAGCTGGACGTGTCAATGACAGGCCTCACTGCTGTGAATGGGCAGGATCCCTAGTCTCAACCTGCAGCCAGGGAATGCTAGGATCCCAGGGGTCAGGGGCCCAAAGGGATGGAGGGTGGTGGCGGTGGTTCCGTTTATTTTCCGAAGGCACAGGTGCTCAGAGCTAATGGCGTTTGTTATAGCTCTCTGATGAGAAAACAACCTCTTCCCAGAATCAATCCCCCACCTGGCCTCTCCCAAGCCAGTGCCTGTTCTCATTTGGGATTTGGGACCATCCCATAGGTGCAGTGAACAGCTGCCCACAAACCCCTTTTGAGCCAGTATTTGAGCAAGTATTGGGTTCAACCATAAGTACCTGGTAGAATCTGACCACTCTAAGTCTGCCTAAAGGGGCCCAGGTGGCCTGGAGGTTCACAGCTCCCCAAGAGGGAGGGGGCACCTTTGCACTAGGCTTTTCTGCTGCAGCCCTGAGGATGGAGACAAGGAAGGGCCACGTCTCGGTGGGGGCGTGGAGAAGAGGGGTGACCTCATTTTCCACTGGTTGTGGCATCAGGGCCGGCAGAAGGGGAAGTGAATCCCCTTCAGGCCCAGAAG